CACTTGCCAAATAGTTCAAATTAAGAGGTGATCTATAAATAGACATAAAGGTACTAGGATGCTTCATGAGGCACTCGAGGGTTTTGGACACCCACAGACTTCCTGAAGAAAATAATGGGGCTGGGTGCAGTGGCTCATGCCTGTAATCCACACTTTGGGAGTCAACCAGCTTGATTCTCCTTTCTGGGCATCAGAGTCTCTTCAACTCCACAGTGTTCCATCTCGACACCAGAGGACCAGATTTAGCCCTGTTCTCTCCATCCAAAATAATTTTATTCCATTTTGCATTATGTAATAACTATTTCCTTCCCCTCCCCACCTCCAACTGCATCTCCTACTCTGAAATGCCTCTTGAGCAGCCAAAGGTGTCCAGCTCTGCTTCTCATTTTCCTGAGGAAGAAGAATCTCAGCCTGAAAGAATACGGAGCTAGGTGATATATGGGTGGCCAACCTCTTCTCCCCAAGTTACAAGAGAGTGGGCAATTAGTCAAATTCCATCAGTCATGTTAAAATATACTTCCACCAAGTAGACATCCTTCTCTTAATGCTACAGGACAGTGAAAAATGTGCAGAGTAATGAGATTTGTCATTTTTTTCTCTTAACTGCACACCCTTCAGGCTGGATACAGAAGGGCTAAACAGATGCCTTAGGAAGGGACCCTGAAGACCCAAGTGACCAGCACCATAAAGCCACTCCTAGGGTCAGCCATGCTGCCAGCACTCAAGAGGCAGCAGGGCCACCTGCTGGAAGGCCCAGCACTCTGGCTGCCTGGCCCTGCCTGCCTCCTCCATGTCCTTCGAGCCAGGTCTACGGCAGGACCACGATCTTCTTTTCCAGCTTCCGTGGAGGGAACAGGAAGTTTTTCATGATGTCATCCAGCTCTTCTAGGGCCAACTGGGCATGGAGCTTGGCCACGTCATCGGGCTCCAGACGCACCACGTGCTTCAGCAGGTGGTAGAGGTCCTTGAGGACGTCGCTCAGCACCTACATGAGAGAGACAGCCATGACCACCTGTGCCGGCATTTATCCGTATGACTGAGCTGCCCTCTCCTCCTGCCTGAGGAGATCTGTGAGGATACCCACAGACTTCCTGAAGAAGATAATGTGGCTGGGTGCAGTGGCTCACGCCTATAATCTGCACTTTGGGAGGCTGAGGCAGGGGCAGGCAGATCACTTGAGTCCAAGAGTTTGAGACCAGCCTGGGCAATGTGGCAAAACCTCATCTCTACAAAATATATAAAAATTAGCCAGGTGTGGTGGCACATGCCTATAGTCCCAGCTACTTAGAAGGCTGAGGTTAGGAGGATCATTTGAGCCTGGGAGGTCAAGGCTATAATAAGACGTGATTGTGCCACTATACTCCAGCCTAGGTAGAAAAAAAGATAATGCATGGCCATCTCGGGTTGGAGGAGGAGACAGGGGTGGCACTAGCCCTTGTACTAAGATAAGCTTCCCATTGTGTTTCTCACTTACCCCATGCCTAGCTACATGGCCTTGGGGCTTCTGCTCCCCTGACTCCCAGGCCCAATCATAGATCCCAGACCCTGTCATTCAGTCCCAAAGCATGGCAGAGACCTCAGGACCACAGACAGGCAAGACTGCCCAGGTATGGTTGCTCTCAGAGCAACTGATGACCAGCATTTTCCTCCCCAGTGCCCCATAAAGCCCACTGCCACTTCATGAACAGGCACCTATTTTATGAAACCCAGGAGGCTACTTATTGAACAATCATGCCTTTCCTTGCCCCTACTATAAAAATCTGCCACCAGGCTGGGTGTGATGGCTCACCCCTGTAATCCCAACACTTTGGGAGGCCAAGGCGGGTGGATCACCTGAGTCAGGAGTTCAAGACCAGCCTGGCCAACACAGTGAAACCCTGTCTCTACCAAAATATAAAAATTTGCCAGGCATGGTAGCACATGCCTATAATCCCAGCTACTCAGAGGCTGAGGTAGGAGAATCACTTGAACCCCAGGAGGCAGAGGTTGCAGTGAGCTGAGATTGAACCACTGCACTCCACCCTGGGCAGAATGAGTGAGACTCTGTCTCAAAAAAAAAAAAAAAAAGTCTGCAACGACAGTTTCCATTTTTCATGAGCAATGCTCCAATTTTATGGTCTGATATGGAATTGGGAGGGTGTCAAAAGTATCCACTCACAGGTGCTCCTATTTCTCCACAAAATCCTCCTGGCTTGGGAGCTAGAACTTCTAGCAAGAGACAGGTTTCAAAGGAACAGGGAAACAAAAGTAAGGCGACTGAGGCTGAGAACAGTGATTGACGCCTGTAATCCCAGCACTTGGGAGGCCGAGGCAGGTGGGTCATTTGAGGTCAGGAGTTTGAGACCAGCCTAGACAATATGGTAAAACCCTGTCTCTACTAAAAATTTAAAAAAAAAAAAAAAATGGCCGGGCGCGGTGGCTCACGCCTGTAATCCCAGCTGTTGGGGAGGCCGAGGTTGCAGTGAGCTAACATCACTGCACTCCAGCCTGGGCGACAGAGAGATTCTAACTCAAAAAGAAAGGCCAGGTGCTGACTTACACCTGTAATCCCAGCACTATGGGAGGCTGAGGCTGGTGGATCACTTGAGGTCAGGAGTTTGAGACCAGCCTGGCCAACATAGTGTAATACCGTCTCTAGCAAAAATGCAAAAATTAGCCAGGTGTGGTGCCGGGTACTTATAATCCCAGCTACTCAGGAGGCTTAGGCAGGAGAATCACTTGAACCCATTGCGCCATTGTGCTCCAGCCTAGGGGACAAGAGCAAGACTTCATCTCAAACAAACAAAATAAAAAGTAAGGAGACTTAGGGACCATGTGGTCCAACTAGGGACAGGGGGCAATTGGACCACAGGGGGTCATGTGACTTGTCTGCAGCTACTTGTAAAGTTACTCCTGATTCAGGGCTTTTCGCCTCAAATACTACTTTTTGGGTCATGTACTATTTTAGGTCCTTTCTATATATATTCTAATTTTTCTGCCAGTCATATAGAGGAAGTTTATTAGCCCCATCTTATAGCTGAGGACACTGAGGGTTAGAGGGTTAAGGTTACTCAGCTAAAAAAATGATGGAGCGAGGTTTCCAACATCTAGAGCCTGTGCCTGTATTTTTCATTTGATTTTTTTGAGACAGTTTTGCTCTTGTTTTCTATGCTGGAATACAATATCAAGATCTTGGCTCACTGCAACCTCGGCCTCCCAAGTTCAAGCAATTCTCCTGTCTCAGCCTCCTGAGTAGCTGGGATTACAGGCATGTGCCACTACACCTGGCTAATTTTGTACTTTTAGTAGAGATAGGGTTTCTCCATGTTGGTCCGGCTGGTCTCAAACTCCTGACCTCAGGTGATCCACCTGCCTCGGCCTCCCAAAGTGTTGGGATTACACGTGTGAGCCACTACGCCGGCCTATTTTTTGTTTTTATTGAAATGATAATACACTACAAAAGAGCATATATTAAAAAGGAAGGCTCTCTTCTGCTCCAGACTCCTAGCTGTTTCCCTTCTCAGAGGACATCATTCATATGATGACATATTCTCAGAGTTTACAAGTACACATAGGTGTATACTTATGTTCTTGTCCCCTCCCCACCAGCTTTTTGAGACAGGGTCTTGCTTTGTTGCCCAGGCCAAAGTACAGTAGTGCAATCACAGCTCATTGCAGCCTCAAACTTCTGGGCTCCAGGAATCCTTTGACTCAGGCTCCCAAGTAGCTGGGACTACAGGCATATGCCACCATGCTTGGGTGT